CCCGCATAAGTGAATTATGGAGGACACCTGAGCACTTGGCCTTGTCCCGAGGAGTTCCGGCCAGTTCCTAGATGCCTGAGAGGACCCACACACCAGACCACAAATGTCAACAGAACCCCCCAGACCTCAGCGAAGAGGATACTCTCTTTTTCCTTTCTGAGTTTCCTAGATGCTCTGTTTGTATTTGTGCTCTCTCTCCATCTTCAGGAAACTCTGCTCTCACTTCCTCTCTGCTTGCATTTGATTTCCAGGCTGCACAAAGCCAAAAACCCTCTTGGCCGGTCCTGAAGGCCCCCTCTGGGTCCTTCTACCTGCCCAGCCTCTTAAGAGGCTGGTAGTTCTTCAACGATATGTCAGGGAACAATTCTTTCAGTCTGAGTGACTCCATTTTCATTTGTCTAGATAAGTAAGGGGGAAGGGTGTCGAGGGCTAGAAGTAATAATATTGTTTATAAAAAGCTTCCTTAGAAAAAGTGTTTTTGTTGTTGTTTGTTTGCTTGTTTGTTTTGGTTTGAAAACCACGGCCCTTTGGTGGAATGGATTTGGGATTGACAGTGTAGAGATATGGACCTTGATCGTGCCCTCGCGAAAGCAAGCGTGTGGTTTGGCCTGGGTCTACCTTGTCTGGGTCTCAGTTTTGTCATTTATAAAATTAATGGGCTGCTCTAGGTGACCCTTTCTGCTGCAACATCCCCTCATTCTGGATGGTGAAGGCTGGGATTCTGCAACTCAGCCGCACAGCGTCTGTGGATGTTGCGGGCGCCACCTGGTGGTAGAAATGGATAGTGCTGTCCACAGGCTGGGGCCACACTCAAGATCCAGGAATCCGTGTCACTTTCTCCATATGAGAAAAATCTCTCCAGGGACAGGGTGCCCTATCCAAGGTAATAGCAAGGTAATAGTGCTCTCTTGTTAGAATAAATTGAGGATGAGCAGGACATGGTACAGTGGCCAGAAACTCATCACAGAGACCAGAATAACTCATCAACACATGTGAATAATTTAAGACATACTCAGCATTTTGGAAAGCAAAGACTGATAACGTTGGCCAAAACTTACTTGGAATTTGCTTACTTTGATTATATGTTTCTTTATTGGAACAGTGACCTTGAAAATAGGTCCATCATCATATTCAGGCCCATCTCACGGGTTTCCCAGTAGAATTGCGAAACTGCTCTGTGTATTTGCTGTTTATGTCATTGTACTTGTTGAGCTGAGATGAAGTCAGGGTCACTGCAATGAGCCACAACAGCCTCTTTTGTCTCTAAAGGATTTTTAAAATGACTGATGAGTAATATTGGAGAGCCAGGTATTGATTCAGAAGGATTGTTGGGACAAAAGCTCTGGGAATAGACTTGGGTTATGAATTTCGTAAGCATGAGCAGAAAGGGTGTCTGTCAGGAAGGTTGTCAGGAAACAAACACAATAAAAATGATAATAGAGCAGAAGTTAGAGGGAATTTTTCTGTCATTGTGCTCATCCTTCAACCCTCAAGAAATGAGATCCATGCCTATGGTTTTGTATTGCACATAGCCTGGGTTTAACCTCACTTTTTTTTTAATAGCAAAACTAAAGTTTTACCCTCCTAAGAGCTGACTTCAAAAATGTGCTGGAAAGCTCATGTTCCTTTTTATTTAGGGTAATTTTATTTCCTCTATGAATAAATTTGTGGATTAAAATTTATAGAATCCAAAATTTATTATTTTTTTATTTAAAAAAATTTTTAACATTTATTCAATTTTGAGAGAGAGAGAGAGAGAGTGTGAGTTGGGGAGGGGCATAGAGAGAGAGGGAGACACAGAATCTCAAGCAGGCTCCAGGCTCTGAGCTGTCAGCACAGAGCCCGACACGAGGCTCGAACGTACAAGTGGTGAGATCATGACCTGAGCCGAAGTCGGATGCTTAACTGATTGAGCCACCCAGGCGCCCCTCCAAAATTTATTATATAGTCTAATATCAAAGCTATCACCCACTTTTATAATTCTGTAGGTGAATCCTGTAATTCTACCTGTCAACTCCTTCCCCCTTAGTCTCAGATCTAACTTCTAGTACACCTTGAAAAACTGAAACTATTGACTGCCTTCCACAAAAGTCTATGACATTTATACTTCCTCCTCATTTCACAACAAAAGGTGAGCACCCTTCACTCATGTTCTGGATCCTAGGACCTCTCACCTCCTACTTATATATCAACTGTCATTGTCTTGTGTATGTCCATCGTCTCCTTCTGAATATATCATTGTACATAAGTGATACACATGTTTAGATAAAGAATCAAACTTGGTCTTATTCTCTGCTTTGGTTACTACCTTGGGTCTCCTCTTCTGGTCTGAGTCAACCCTCTTGACAGAGCAGGGTATTTTCTCTATCTCCAGTCCCCCCAGCTCACAATCCTTCCTCAAATGATTGTAATAAGGTTTCCAACTCAACCATGCTATCGAAACTACTCTGCCAGAGTTACCACAGCCAGATTCAGTGCATGCTTTTCTGGCCCCTCTTGATCTCTCTGTGGGATTTAACACTTCCAACCATCTTCATTTTTTAACAATCTCCTCACTTGGCTTTGGTGACACCCCTCTCCCAGACTCTCCTTCCTCTTCAGAATTTCCTTCTCAGTTTCCTTTTTAGGTTTATACAGTGTGTGTGTGTGGGGAGGGGGAGATGCTTGTCATTTATTGAGCCTCTCCTAAGTGCCAGGTTCTGTGATAGTTTGAATACATTATTTTGTTGAATCCTCAGAACAACCTTATGAGGTAGGTGGTGTTGTTGTTTTTAATTTTAGAGGGGGGAAGAAGATAAAGAGAGAGAGAGAGAGAGAGAGAGAGAGAGAATCCCAAGTAGGCTCTGTGCTAAGCATGGAGGCAGGGCTTGATCTCACTACACTGTGATCATGACCTGAGCCCAGATCAAGAGTTGGTGGCTCAAGCAACTGCACCACCCAGGTGCCCCTGAGGTAGGTGTTTTAAATCCCCATTTAATTTAATTTAATTTAATTTAATTTAATTTAATTTTTTAAATGTTATTTATTTATTTCTGAGAGAGAGAGAGAGAGAGAGCATGAGCAAGGGAGGGTCAGAGAGAGAGGGAGTCACAGAATCTGAAACAGGCTCCAGGCTCTGAGCTAGCTGTCAGCACAGAGCCCAATGCGGGGCTCGAACCCACAAATCGTGAGATCATGACCTGAGGTGAAGTCGGATGCTTAACCAACTGAGCTGCCCAGGAGCCCCTAAATCCCCATTTTATGTGAGGATCTCAAGATTCAGAAAACGTTGACTAACTCCTCGAGTAACAGACCGAAGCCCAGTGTCATATGTCTTCTGAGGCTAAGCTCTTACCCTCTGAGGTTATAGTGCCTCTTCTGGTCAGGTATCTTAAAGTCTGACCTGCCTGAAGTCTATGTCCACAGTTCCCTCGCCTCCCTCAGGGAGTATCATTCCCACCCTGGGGTTCAATGACCATTTCTCTGCTGATACATGAGAAGTCACTGTGTGTAGTGTCACTCTCCATAAATAGAAATCCATGTCCCACAAGCCTTTCAATCTTAACTTTTCAAAGTCTTTGTTTTTTAATTGTGGAAAGAACACTTAATATGAGATTTAGCCTCTTAACAAAATTTTCAGTGTACAATATGTTATTGTTGACTATTGTCAAATCTTAGTAAAGCCCAGACTCCTATAGATGGGGAACTTCAACCTCATTTCTTCCTGATCTGCTACTTGCTTGTGGTGCTCCAGCCACAGCACCTACTTGTTGAAGTCCCACTCAGTTCTGCCTTAAAGCCATTGTCCATGCAGTTGTCTTTTACTGCTGTGTTGTTACCATGGCTTATTTCACAGTTGGCTCCTTCTTATACTTGATGGCTCAGTTTAATTACTATATCCAAAGAGAAGCTCTCCTGACCATCCTATCTGTAGAAATCTTTCTTCAGTTTTTCTTGATCACATCTTCCTCTATGGTTATCTTGTTTTTACTTAGTCATTGTCAGTCTGCTCCCACTATCAGAGAAGTCCTTTGACTTGTCCAAGGCCAGCATGAACATTTGTAAATGTTGTACACTGTATGAGGGTGTTTAGCTGAGATGAATGCACTTATATCTAGTCTGCCTCTACCTATGTGCCAGAAGAGCTGTCTTTAAAACAAAATTGATCAAAGATATCATCCAGGCTGGTGGTAGACATGGTTTTGTCTGTCTTGTCCAATGGTTTATATCTAGAGCCTAAAACAATGACAGGTATATATGGGACTTTCATAAAATGTTTATTGAGTGAATGGAAGGGCATAATGTAGCTGCAGGACAGGTTTATACTAGAAAAGAACCTAGTCCTTAACACTTAAAAATCTTCTGAAGGGTTCCATTATGCACAGAGTAAGATAAGAATCTTACGTGGCCCATTGGGTTGGGCTTGCCCTGCCTCCAGCCTGTGTCTGCAGTCTCATTTCACATGCCCTCCTCATGAGTTATGATAGATGGCTATCATTCTGACCTTCTTCACAAAAGACACCCCCTCTCCCATATCTTTTGCTAATCAAACTCTGATTATAAGTCCAGAGCCCACAAAACATAGGAAATGCTGTTTCTTGCTAAGTTCCAACTTGCATGAAGGGATGGTTTGTATCCCAGGGCTCAGCTGATGAGGTCTTGAATGCTTGCATTTTCTACCTATCACAGGAACAGTTTTGATGAGACTCTTCACCAAAAAACTGCTTAGTAACGTCAGTTTCCTTGGGTCTTGAGATCCCACACAAATTTTCCCATGAATGTTTCCTTATTAAGTTTTACTTAAATACCAGTGTAAGTGGGAATTCTGTACCAGTTCTGGAAGTTCTTTGACACTGTCTTTAATAGCTATCTCTAACCACTTGGTTCCTTAAAGTAATTCCTCCTTTGATTACTGCTGTTTGACTGGATTCTCATCTTCACCGAATTCCATTACACCGTCATATAACCATCTGCTTCAGGCTGGCTTCTTACTTGTCCTTTCGCCTCTCCCATTTTGCAAGTTTTGCCCAGCCATCCAGGGGAGACCTCTGGTCCTGGTGGTGACAGTAATGGAGCAATTGTGGAATCGTTCCCTTGAAGTTCCCCCAGCAAATGGTGAGTTGTTATTGTTGTTATTGTGTGTGTGTTTTTCCTAGTCCTGAACATTCCTAGTGACTGGAAATTCATTTCCTAATGGCTAACTTCCTTTTTTTGTAATGCGATAGGAAGGGAAGAAAGGCAAAGACCTCAGCCTCTGAACTCCCTCTTGGGGCCTTTGTAAAACGTGTTTACAAAGTAACAATTTTAGAATACCAAACCAAGCCTAACAAAATCCCAGGGCCAAAGTTTTAGATCTTTCCTTATTTATTCCTGTGGCAAAGTAAGTGGCAGTGGTGGTGGGGATGGGGATGCCCAGGATGACCTTAATCACATCAAGCACATGTGATTTCTCTGAGTTCCTATTTCTGCTTAGTCCCACTTTAACATACACATGCCTCTTACTGCTGTGTATTTAGAACTCTCAGATCTCCGGAACAAATGTGACATGCTTAAGCCCTTAGTTGCTGCTTAATAGTTTTAGGAAATTTGGGCACTGAAGCGCTCCAAGATCCAACCACAGGAAGCCTGGTGTGGAGAGACTGCTTTTTAGGGGCCATTTCTCTGGGAAGACTTGCCTGAACCAAATGGAAACCATCTGGCTGAGTGAATTTATTGTTATGAGCTGATAACACTGTACATTTTCCTATCGTTTTAAAGGGGTAGGCTTTTGGGAAAAAAATGTCCCTTTTATAGTCACCCATTCTTATTTCAGTTTGAGGTAGATTTTTTTTTTTACAAATAGTTTATTGTCAAATTAGTTTCCACATAACACCAGTGCTCATCCCCACAAGTGTCCTCCTCCATGCCCATCCCCCCTCCCCCCCACATCCATCAGTCCTCAGTTTTTGTCAGCATTCAAGAGTCTCTCATGGTTTGCCTCTCTCCCTTTCCCCCACCATTTCCCCACTTCTGAGGTAGATTTTTAAACAAAAAAAATTTTAAGGTTTATTTATTTGGAGAGAGAGAGAGAATTGGGGAGGGGCAGAGAGAGACAGAGAGTGAAAATCCCAAGCAGCCTCTGTACCACCAGTGCAAAGCCTGATGTGGGGCTCAAACCCAAGAATCATGAGATCATGACCTGAACTGAAGTTGAATGCTTAACTGACTGAGCCACCAGGCACCCCTGGGGTATATATTTTAAAATTAAAATTAACATTTAATTTGTGACCAGGGACACCTGGGTGGCTCAGCTGGTGAACTGTGAGACTCTTGATCTGTAGATTGTGAGTTCAAGCCCTACGTTGGATATGAAATCTTAAATAAAAGTTTTAGTGATCAAATTGAAAGTGATTATTTTCCTTTTAAAATATATTCTGCCCCTCCATATTGTTGCTTTTCCAAAGTGCATCTGACCATCCTTAACTCAAATGGTGAGATAATGATGATAAAAATGTGAAGAAAAAGTAGACATTTTTCCAATCCCATGAGAAACTTTCCATCAAGAGTGTTTTTAGCAGGGGCACCTGGGTGGTTCAGTCGATTAAGCATCCGACTTCAGCTCAGGTCATGATCTCCGGGTTCATGGGTTCAGGCCCCACGTCGGGCTCTGTGCTGACAGCTCAGAGCCTGGAGCCTGCTTCGGATTCTCTGTCTCCTCTCTCTCTGCCCCTCCCCTGCTCCTGTTCTGTCTCTCCTTGGAAACTAAATAAACATTAAAATTTTTTTTAAAAAAGAGTTTTTTTAACAGAGGATTCCATTGTATATAATGGGACAGTTTAGATAATCTGGAAGCAGCCTAGATAACTTGATGTAATAATAATAATAATAGCTATCAGTTAGCATAAAATACATGCCCTGCTAAATATATGTGCTATTTTACATGAGCTATGTCTCATTTTTTAAATGTTTATTTATTTGAGAGAAAGAGTGAGCAGGGGAGGGGCAGAGAGAGAAGGAGTCAGGGACTCTGAAGAAGGAGACAGAGCCTGATGACTCAGGGGCTGGAATTCATGAACTCTGAGATCATGACCTGAGCCAAAATCAACTGACTGAGCCACCCAGGTGCCCCAAGCTATATCTCATTTAATCTCTACATCATAAATGCAATGTACTTACCAATTTTTATGTACAGATAAAGAAAGTACAGTTCAGAGGAACTAAGGAACTTGTCCCAGGCATGACGAGTGGCAGGCAGCAAAGTGGGATCTGAACTAGGGTCTGTCTGATGCCAGGCACATGTTCTGCATGCAATGTATGGACGGTATAGGTAACTGTGCTCATTTTTTCTTGACTTAAAACTGTCATAGTGTTAAAAATAAATCCTCAATTTGTGAAATCATTCCTCAAGTGGATCTTAAGGTTAAAAAAAAAATTATTAGGCACACCTGGGTGACTCAGTCAGTTGACCATCCAACTTCAGCTAGGTCATGATCTCCTGGTTCATAGGTTCAAGCCCTGTGTCAGGCTCTGTACTGACAGCTCAGAGGCTGAAGCCTGCTCTCTCTCCCCCTCCCCAGTAGCTCTGTGTCTCTTTCTCTCAAAAATAAATTTAAAAAATAAATAACAAATTTATTAAGATATTATTCTGGAAAAGTTGGCTCATAGTAAGATGATTAGGGCTTATTTGTCAGGGCTAATACTATTTATATATTTCGATGACATTACTCATGCCAGGCGTACCCAGGAGGAATTATGGAAATAGAAGTCTGTTCATGTTGCAATCCTTCTATATTTCGGCTATCCCTCTGTCTTTGCTGGACTCTAGGGTTCCTTTCAGCTAGAATTCAGAATCCATTAACTTAAAAATATCACTCAATTAAAATAAAATATAAAATCCAGTAACAGAGTTCTCTTATAGCCAGAATTGTTTCAGTTAGTTTATATTCATCTGGGTTATCATGACAGATACCTGACTTGAATCAGCTTAAGGAAAAACAGTAATTTCAAGGCTCGTGCAGTTGAGAAGGATTCTGGGCTGACTCCCTGAGAGAAAGGTAGAGCTACAGGAACCAGGGCTTAGAACCCTGGCATGAGGTGTCTCCTAAGGACTGTCTGTCTTCCATCTCGGCTGTCTCTGCTAGGCTTCGGTAGGCAGACACACTCCGCAGGATGAGCCTCAGCCGCACTCTCATCTTAGTGACCCCAGGGAAAGAGGCTGACTTGCTTTGTGGGCATGCCTCACCATCACTGTGTGCAGGTAGTAATGATGGGGTTTTGGAGTGAGGTCTAAAGCCGACAGCCAGGCAAGAATTCTAGGGGCATTTTTGGTGCAAAAAAGGTGATTTTATTCAAGCACAGGGACAGGACCCTGGAAAGAGCTGCACTGGGATTGCGAAGAGTGACTGGTTATATACTGCAGAGTTGGTTGGGGGGGGGGGTCGGTGGGAGAGCAGATAAAGTCAAGAGGAAGTTTCATGTGCTAAAGAAGACTCACAGATTACTGGAGGTCTAGCTATTGTCAAACTAGGGTGTTTTTTTTTTCCTCTAGCAAAGCATTATTTTTTTTTATATATTTTTATTTATTTCTAGGAGAGAGAGAGACAGCGTGAGCAGGGGAGGGTCAGAGAGAGAGGGAGACACAGACTCCGAAATAGGCTCCAGGCTCCGAGCTGGCAGTCAGCACAGAGCCCGACGCAGGGCTCGAACCCACGAACCGCGAGATCATGACCTAAGCGAAAGTCGGAAGCTTAACCAACTAAGCCACCCAGGCGCCCTGCAAAGCATTATTATTAAGACAGTAGGGAGTTTCTGAAGATTAGGTTATTGATAAAATTGCTTTTTTCTTGTAATTTACAAAGTATTTGTAAACTGATAGAGACTCAGGTCCTATGATCTATCATTTAACCATTTGTTTTCTCCTTTCCTTTGTTCTTAGGCGGCCAGGAATGTCAGAGGAATATCACACATATCCCATCTGGGGTGGTGGGGGTGGTTTGCAGTCTCAGCTTGCCTATGCTCCCTCATCAGTAAGATTGGCCAGGCTTGTCGAATGTGCCCATCCCCGGGTCTGGGGATGGAGCCAGGCACAGTTACCTGACAAGGGGGAATGGGGTAAAATGTGCTGGGCAGCCAAAATTGAGAGCCACCCTGCTGATGAGGTACACCACATTCCTCACCAGACTAACCAATTTAATGAGACATGATTCCTTCAGAATGGAATCTAAGTACTGTCTACCTTTGTACCAGCCAGATTAGATTACACCATGTTCCAAAATAAACAATTCCATCTCAGTGGCTCACCAAATTGGAGGTTTATTTCTCCCTCATGGTGTATGATGTTGGTGAGGTTCAGTTGGATGTCTCCTTTTATTCTGGTTTGTGGCCAGTGGGGTGCACTGCCTGACATTTCTGATGTGCACCACTTGGAGACAGGGTCACACCTCACAAGTTAAGGGCTCAGTTCTCCATGAGACTGTCCTTATTTCAGACACTCGACACACTTTACGGGTCCCCAGGCTATCCATACTTCTAACTGGCTATGAAATCAGGGGTTGCCACAAGTGCTATCCTTATGACTGCAGTTGTATTAAAGGGTCTTCATGGGGCAAAGTCTGGGAGGGTATGCAGAGCTGCCGTGCCCTCTCCTGCAGGAGTGGGTGGGAGGGAGGGGGCTTAGCATGCATCGTACTCTCAGCTGTTTACCATGTTCACCAACCAGGAAGCTCCACTGGGCTTCTGTGTCCAGAGTCTCACATGATTCAACTCAATTTCCAGATCCCCTCTGCTTCCCAGAGGTCAGGATGATCCAGAGTTCCAATCTTGTAGTCACATGGTTGATATTTCTGGTATCCTGAAAGCTATCTAGGTGCCTGCCACAGGCACATCATTAGATAACAAAGATATTCCCATCACTTAGGAAATTCCAAGTATTTTAGGAAGCTCTGTGCCAGGAAACTGGGGGTGGGGTGGGGGGGAACCATACAAATTCTTTATTATGCCACATCTTTTAGGATTGAGGCTGAAGAAGCAGCTCTTTTCTTAAAAAAAAAATTTTTTTTTTTAATGCTTACTTATTTTTGAGACAGAGCATGAGCAGGGAAGCAGCAGAGAGAGACACAGAATCTAAAGCATGTTCCAGGCTCTGTGTTGTCAGCTCTGTGAGATGTAGTCAGGCGCTTAACTGACTGAGCCACCCAGGCACCCTGGAGCACTCCTTTCTGAGACAGTGACAGTGGAACCTTGTGTTAGCTCTTGAAGCTTCAGCTCCTAAGTGGAGTAATTTTGTTCTATTCCTGTCACCTTGGCTTATATAAGTCATGTGGCCCTGAGTCTGACATCATTGAAATTAAGAGATACAATCCTCCAGTGAGGGCAGCAAATATTTTGAACAGACCTCACAGTGTACCACAACCTCCTTTACAGAAAGGTAAAGCTGTGTCACTGAAATGAAATTTGTTAGTGAGAAAACCCTTTTCAAAACTCTCTACAAGTTTTCTTCTGGGTAGGAAAGTAGAAATTGTACTAAGTGCCTGTAATAAGGCAATTGCTTTATATATGCTATATTATATAATTAGCATACTGATTATATAAGATATGTATTATTTTATTATTATATGATTATATTACATTATCTTATATTATTACTATAAGGTATGTATATCCATTTTACAGATATGGAAACTGACTCTCAAAGATAAGTTGTCATAGAATTATTGGTTGAATCAGATGCAAATCCAGACCTGTCTCTAAAGCTTCTTCCTGGAAGTTTGTTAGATGCAGAATCTCAGAGCCCCTCTTCCTGCCCTCACCTGCTGAATCAGAATCTGCAGTTTCACAAGATTTCCAGGTGATTAGGATGTACATTGATGTTTGGGATTAGATAACACTGAGATTTCAGAAGCTGAGGTTTCTTTTACTGCCTCTTCCCCGTTTCCTGTCCCCAGTCTGTTAAAATAAGTTGGTGGGGGTGAGGGGAAATCTGCTTAGTTGCTATCATTCACCAATACCTCCCAGACACAGTCTCATTTAAGCCTCATAAAAACCCCATACTGTCAATACCATCACCCACCTTAGAGGCAAGGAAATTGAGTTTTGGGTCGATCAGAGTGCTAATGCTGGAACTGGAAAACATAAAAATAATTCCTCTTAGGTGAAATTTAAGTACAAAATGCTATAACGTATTGTTGTGTTTGACTTTTAACAAGTATTTATAATCAAAGTTGATAATGATACTAATAAAGAAAATTGTAGCTATTTGTTGAGTACTGTATTAAGTGCATTAGTTTAAATACGTAAAATTATTGCGGCACCTGGGTGGCTCAGTCAGTTAAGTGTCTGACTTTTGATTTTGACTCAGGTCTTGATCTCATGGTTTGTGGGTTTGAGCCTCGCATCAGGCTCTGCAATAACAGTGCGGAGCCTGCTTGGGATCTTCTGTCTCCCTCTCTCTCTCCCCATCCCCTGGTCTTGCTTTCTCTCTCTCTCTCTCAAAATAAGTAAATGAACTTTATTTTTTACTTTTTAATAAGTAAACTTTAAGTAAATAAATATGGATAATTATTATGTAAATGGAATTTATTCTCTCTGACCATAACAAGTAGAAAGACAAATATCATGAAAGCATTGGCTTGTTTATCAGGAATTAATGGCTTAAAAGAAGGAATGAAAACTGTTGATTAAGTGTTGTCAGCAAGACCATCTGATATTCAGTCAGTAATTCTCAGTCAGGTGTGGGGCACCTTCCAAGGGCTATTTGGAGCCATGCAGCGGCCCTTTTGGTTGTCACAATGAGTGGGAGGTACAATTGGTATTTAATGTCTTGGGACCAGGAATGCTAAATGTTTGGCAACACATGGGATCCTAGCACAACCAAACATTGTCTGTTCCCACATGCCACTGGCACTTTCCTTGAGGAATGGAGAAATTTGTCACAATGTTTGTTTTATAAAACAAATTTCAACTTTGAGGGGAACCATACTAATTATTCCCACCTCAAAGAGTTAACACACACAGCTACTAACTCATTGTGATAAACCCACTAGCACATAGCTATACTGCAAACTCAGGGGCTTTGAAGCAATGAGAGATCCTTTTTTTTTTTCTTAATTTTTTAATTTTTGAGACAGAGAGAGAGAGACAGAATGAGCAGGGGAGGGTCAGAGAGAGAGGGAGATACAGAATCTGAAGACAGGCTCCACGTTCTGAGCTGTCAGCACAGAGCCCGAAGCGGGGCTCGAACCCACGAACAGTGAGATCATGACCTGAGCAGAAGTCAGACGCTTAACCGACTGAGCCACCCAGGCGCCCCAGCAATGAGAGATCCTTAAAGGTCAAAGGGACAAAGCCCTTCTCCCCATACCTAGAATTCCACTGTAGCTCACAGATGGGGAAACTTCTGCCTCCTGGCCTCCCTGGCCAGTGTTTCTTGGGAAGAGGAGTGGCTAATTAGATTTTGAGGCAGGTTTTACTAGTGTATGCGGTTACTGTGGTTAAACTCACCCTTCCTTCTTCACTTCCTGCTGAAGGAGTTCCTACCCAAGCCACAAGCTAAAGGTCAAGAGTCCCCAAAGAGTGGGCCTAGGCCAGCTGAAAGTCATGGGCTTATTCTCTATTTTGCCCTTTGCTCTAGCACTGGGAATACTCTTTGGTCTGGCCATTCTCCATGTGGCAATAGTTCCACCTGTCCTTGGATTTGCAGGTGAAACAAGTGGATAAGGAAGGGAAGCAGTCTGAAGCTCCACTTTACCCTCAGGCCTGACCCTCTTTCTTCAGTCCCTTAGAATTCTTGTGGAGGGCTTGCTCAGCTGTTAACAAAGAGTCACTGTCTTTTCTTCTGTGTTCCTTCCCACTGCTCAGGTTCAGTCAGTAAATCTGGGGGGGGGGGGGAGAGCCGTGGGAGGGGGTCTAAGGAGGTCAGGGGACAGGGGGGCTGGAGGGAGGAGATGGGGGTTCTGGAGGGAAGAGGGCTAGGGAAGGGGAATTGGAGAGAGGGGGTGAGCTGGAAGGGGTCTGGGGGGAGGAGGGGCTACAGAGAGGGAGCTGGAGACAGGGGCTCTGGAGAGTAGGGTGGCTGAAGTGGGGGATTTGCACCTGCAGCATGTTCAGCAGCAGTAGAAGCTGCCATCTATGAAGTACCTACACAGTGCTGAGCATTTGACTTAGTCTTTTCTTTACTCAAAACAACTCTGAGAGATAGGTATTATCCCTGACATGGAAACCAAAACTTTCAGACATTAGTAACTTGCCCAGGGCTACTTAATTAGCAGGTAGTAGAGTCGTAATTAAAATATTTTCCGGACTGAAAGACTAAGAACATTTAAAAAGACAAAGCAGTTTCTTCCATGCTTTACGATAGGAATCTATCAACAAAGCACTTTTTTTTTTTAGTTTGTAAGTAGATCTGAAGCTGTTTTTTGAGAAAAAATATTGTGGTTCTGATAGCTTCTCTGAGAATGTAGGTTGCTCTGTCTCTGGCAAGACTATAAATCAGGTTTTAAAATTTCCCCAACACTTTAAGCCATGCCATCTGCATGTCTAGGATCGAAAACATATGTATTTTCCTCCACTTCACAACACAGAAGACTGGCATTCTAGTCATTTGTCACAATTTTATTGCAATTTAGCACTTGCCAGCAGTTTGCTTGTGACATCTGATGAGAGAGAGACAGAGAGAAAGAAAGAATGTGATAAAAGATTTGTTGAAATTACATTTATCTGGTTTTGCAGGGTCTCTAAGTTATTTGACTGTATTATAGGAGACAATCTGAAAATAATGTTCTTGGGGTGCCTGGGTGGCTCAGTTGGTTAAGCATCTGACTTTGGCTCAGAACCACTTACTTGTGGTTCGTAAGTTCAAGCCCTTGGTTAGGTTCTGTGGTGACAGCTCAGAGCCTGGAGCCTGATTCAGATTCTGTCTCTCTCTGAGCCTCCACCTCCACAAATATAAATAAATATTTAAAAAAAATAACATTCTTGACTAGGTGTGTGTGTTTATAATCATAGATCCCTTAAAAATATCTTTGTAAGAGTAAATAGTGTTAGAGTAAATGTGTTTTACTGATTTCTAGGGCTGCTTTAATTGATTTGGCAGGAATAATAGGTGTCCCTTTTCTCTTTTCACTGTTTACTGTCTGTCTATAAAATTGATGTTTGATGGAGGAAGACTTTCTTTTCAGATTTGGAAGGTTGATACTTCAAAGTATACAAATGTCCAGGCTCTCATATTTATTAAAATAATTATCCACTACATTATTCATTGTGTTTATATAAGCATAACTGTGAGATGCTAGAGTCCAATTCACCTTTATGACAGAATTTATGTGCCTTATTCTATTTGGAAATGAGACCTCATGCTATATGTCTTTGCTTTATTGTTTTGGTTACCAGAAAACTCAAGACCAAATGCAGACTCAACTACACTACTTAATTCTTTCCAATGCTATGTGTACATGTTGTTCCTTAAAATATTACATTTTTTATTTGAACCATCACCTTGTGTTTTAATATTTTGTAAATTCCTTAAAACACCTCCTCGCACTTAAATTTTTGGCAATAGGCAAAGAATTATTCCACAGATTACTTGCTAAATGTCAAGGGCCAAAAATACCTTAATATTGGTGATATCTGGCTTTTACTACCCCAAAATAGTGATCAATTTTACAATTACTAAGAAGACAATTAGACATTATGTGCTTCCTGATATATGCAATATGACGTACATATTATCACTTGCCAAAAATGTTCATCTGAATGTAATCAAGCCTTTATGTCTTCCGGTTCCCAGAAATAGAAGGAATACAGAATAAGTTAAACTAAGCAACATGATGAAGAAACAAAGTCAAATGTAGACTATGGGAGATTGTACAACTGGCCAGGTCTCTTCAAAAACTAAATTTCATGAAAATAGGAGGTAGAGTACATTCTAGATTAAAAGAGATGGGAGTAGGTACAGAAACTAGATCAACAGTCATTATGGGTGGGCTTGTAAAGTAGTATAGCCACTTTGTAAAACTGTTAACAAGTTAAATGTACATTTAATATGTAATCCCCAGGAATTCTTCACGTAGGTATCCACCCAAGAGAAAATATATATTCACACAAGGACTTGTATATGAATGTTTGTGCAGCATTGTTTGTGAATACCCCAAACTGGAAACAATCCAGATGTCCATCAATTGGCAAAAGGATAAACAAAATGTGATCTATGCATACAATGGAATATTACCCAGCCATAAAAAGGAAGAAACTATTGCTACATGTTATAACGCAGATGAACATCAAAAACATTATACTAAATAAAAGAAGCCAGATTCAAAAGACTGCATATTTTATGATTCCATCGATGTGAAATGTTTAGAAAAGGCAAATATATAAAGACAGATAGATTAATTGTTGTCAGGAGCTGAGGGTAGAAACAGAGATTAACTACAATGGTCACAAAGGATCTTTCTGGGGTAAAAAAAAGTGTCCTAAAACTATATTGTGGTGATGGCTGCCCAACTCTGTACATTTACTAAAAATCATTGTATTGTACACTTAAAATGAAAATTTAAGAATAGAAATTACACCTAAATAAAACTGATTTTATAAAGAATGTGGCTGAAGTGATATATGACCCTAGACCCCCAGAGACCTTGAAGATTTCACTTTCCCTTACTGAAACCTTCCCTGAGACTGTCACAGAAGAGAATGAGGTCCCAGACAACAGCCAGCACCAGTCACTGTACCTGGGAATGAGGCCATCTTGAATCTTCCAGCCCAGCAGACTTCTAGGTGACTGCAGCCATAGGAGTGAGTGTAAGGGGGACCAGCAGAGGAAAAACCCAGCTGATTCATGAATCATAAGACATAATAGTTTTATGGTAATAACATATAGAGATACAATTAAATAAAATATAAGGGTCAAGTGATATGGCAAAATTTTAACAATTGTATTTAAATGGTGGCTAAATGATGATTTATTGTGCTATTTCTATCTTCTGTGGGTTTGAAAATTTTTAAATAAAAGCTTAGAATAGGTATAAGGGCACCTTTCTAAATCCTTTCTAACTTTACTTAGTAAAGTCCCATCATAAAAACAATACAGAATTCATTTCTAGGAGAGGGATTAAACATAATTTAAGTAGGTTTCCCTTCAGTGTATCAATCATATGTGGGTATTTCCAGGTGGGATGAATTTGTTGAAAATTTTGGAAAATGAAGTTGGTTTGTTCTAGTTCTGGGGAGTCCTACCTCTATCAGTTTGCTCTTCACTGCTACCAGATCTTGGCACCTGGCTGGCTCATTTGGTAGAGCAGGCAACTCTTACTCTTGGGGTTGTGAGTTTGAGCCCCATGTTGGGTGTACAGATTAAAAAATAAGTTAGACCAACTGCCACCAGAGCTTCTCATTTTAAAAGATGATTTGATATATGTGTATATTGAGAAATGATTACCATGATGACTTTGGTTAATATCAATCACTTCATATAGTAAAAAATTTTCTTCCAGTGATGAAAATTTTAGTATTTATTCTTTTAGCAACTTTCAAATATGCAATACAGGATTGTTAACTATATTCACCATGTTGTATGTTACTTCCCCAGAACTTATTTATCTTATAACTAAAAGATTGTACCTTTTGACTACCTTCACCCATTTTATTCATCTCTCATGCCCAGCCTTTGGCAACTATCAATCTGTTCTTTGTATCTTTCTGTTTGTTTTTTTTTTTTTAATTCTACATATAAGTGAGATCATATGGTATTTGTCTTTCTCTGTCTGATTTATTTCATTTAGTACAGTGCCCTCAATATTGTTGCAAATAGCAAGATTTCCTTCTTTTTATGGCTAAATAATATCCCATTTTCTTTGTCCATTCATCTGTTGGTGGACACTTAGGTTTCTTCCATGTCTTGGCTATTTTAAGTAATACTACAATGAACATGGGGATGCAGATATCTTTTCAAGATAGTGATTTTATTCCTTTGGATATATACCCAGAAGTGTAATTGCTGGATCATTTGGTAGTTCTATTTTTAGTTTTGGGGGGAACCTCCATATTTTTTTTCCACAGTGGCTGTGGAACTTACATTCCCACCAACAGTGGACAAGTATTCCCTTTTCTCCACATCCTTGCCAACATTTGCTTCTTGTGTTTTTAATAATAGCCACTCAACAGATGTGAGGTGTTATCTCATTGTAGTTTTGATTTGCATTTCTCTGATGATTAGTGATGTTGAACACCTTTTCATGTGCCTGTTGGCCACTTGGATATCTTCTCAGATCTCTGTACCTTTTTTTTCTAAGTTTATTAATTTTTTTTGTTAAAAATTTTTTAATGCTTATTTTATTTTTGTGTAAGAGAGGGACAGAACGTGAACAGGGGAGGGGCAGAGAAAGAGGGAGACACAGAATCTGAAGCAGGCTCTAGGCTGCAGTCTCTGAGCTGTCAGCACAGAGCCTGATGTGGGGCTCAAACTCACCAACTTGAAGATCATGAACTGAGCCGAAGTTGGACGCTTAACCGACAGAGCCACTCAGGCACCCTCAGATCTCTTTTTTTTTCCTTTTTAAAAAAATTTTTTTAAATGTTTTATTTATTTCTGAGAGAGAGAGAGAGCAAAAGAGACAGTGTGAGCAGGGGAGAGTCAGAGAGAGAGGGAGACACAGAATCCGAAGCAGGCTCCAGGCTCTGAGCTGGCTGTCAGCACAGAGCCTGATGTGGGGCTCGAACCCACGAGCTGTGAGATCATGACCTGAGCCGAAGTCGGACGCTTAACCGACTGAGCCACACAGGCACCCCCTCAGATCTCATTTTTAAATGAAGCAGGAATTGAGCTCTTTTTTGTATGAGATCTTCTAATTTTTAACTCTTGGCTCAATTTTTGTGAAGGGACTTTTTGGACCAAAGGAAACCTGTGTGTGGCCCACAGGAGAGAGACATCTGTGTGGGGCATTGATATTGATGTGAAAACAGAAAGAAGAAATGTTCAGGACCATTGTGCTCCTCACTTCCCTGGCCTCTTAGGGAAATCTCTCCATGTTCTGAAACTTAGCTTCCATTTATGCAAGAGGGGATTGGAACATTCCTGGTTACTGGGATAGGCATGTAGTGGGAGTGAGAGAAGGTCAAGGTGGTCAAAAGGTATAGACTTCAGGTGTAAGATAAATAAGTACTAGAGGAGCACCTGGGTGGCTCAGTCAGTTAAACATCTGACTCTTGGTTTTGACTCACGTCATGATCTCACAGTCTATGAGTGTGAGCCCCACATTAGGCTCTGTACCGACAACGTGGAGCCTGCTTGGGATTCTCTCCCTCCCTCTCTCTTTGCCCCTCCCCTATTCTCTCTCTTTCTCAAAATAAATAAATAAATAAACTTAAAAAATTTTTTAAAGATAAGTAAGTACTAATTATATAATGTCCAACATGATGGGTGTAAACACTACTGTGTGGTATATTTGAAAGTTGTTAAAAGAGTAGATGTAAAGAATTCATCACAAGAACAAAACTGTTTCTCTTCTTTTTTTTTTGTATCTATATTACATAGTAAATGTTAACTGAATTTTTTGTGGTGATCATTTCACAGTATATACAAGTCATTATGCTAGAAGCCTTAAACTTATTGAGTGCTATATGCCAATTATAAACTGGGGAAAAAAGAGGAGGATCAGATGATGTGTTCTCCAAAGATCCCTCCTCTTAAACTCTTAACATACCTTTTCTGTTTTGTACCAGCAACATGTTGTGTTTTTTTGAAAAGTCTTCCTTTGAAACATGAAATTCATACATTACTTGATTCCTCATTTATTTTTCAAATGCTCATTAGGTTCCACATAGATGTTCTCAGAGCAGTAGCATGCTCCAGGCCAGCAGGAACTTGTTATTCTTTTGTTCGGACATTATAGGCTTTTTAGGGATTAATTTCTTTTTTTTTTTAATGTTTTTTTTTTTTTTTTTTATTTCTAAGAGAGAGAGAGAGAGACAGCGTGAGCAGGGGAGGGTCAGAGAGAGAGGGAGTCACAGACTGAAACAGGCTCCAGGCTCTGAGCTGGCAGTCAGCACAGAGCCCGACGCGGGGCTCGAACCCACGAACCGCGAGATCATGACCTAAGCGAAAGTCGGATGCTTAACCGACTAAGCCACCCAGGCGCCCCTTAGGGATTAATTTCTTAACATATACTCCAAGAAATAAAGTCCATCTACTATATACAAAGGGAATTGTAATCATAATTATTTTCTCTCTTCTTTTCATTTTGTGTGTAATTACATTTGGGGCCATGATTGGAAGCAGAAAATTAAAGGTAGAAGATATTTAGTGAATCTCTGCTTTTCAGGCAGTCTGCTTAATCCATGTCCAGTTTCTACTTCACTTTTAACAGTAGAAATTCTAAAAATTCTAGCACTAGATGTAGTAATTCCAGTTTTGCAAGCTAGGCTGCAGAACTGAGTTTTTATAAGATTGGTTTCTTAGATTCCTGGAATTATTTTTTAACAATCTGGGCTTGTTATGCCATCTCAAATTGTTGTACCATTTTTTAAAACAACACTCATGTGTAAGAAAAACAATAAGAAACATGCAACTTCATTGTAAAATTCTATTCAGTGTCCCTAACCATTTGTCAAGGTCTCTACATATTTGTTGTGAAAAGGTATCCTTAGCAACCAAGATCATTGGCTTTTTATATAAAAGAGACCCCAGACCATTCTTCTAACATCTAAAGATTCAACTTCCCCACGATAATAAGCATACAGATGGTGAGACAGGCACGGCAAAGCACAAAGCACAGGGGCCAGAACACTTGAATAAGAAGTGGGATGTACTTTAGGCCGTGCACACGGTGATTTCCCTTCTCAGCACTCTCTTTTTTATCTTCCATCAAGTCTCTCCTAGCAAAGCTGCCCTACAAAAAGAAATCTGGTGTTTCATTATGGCACTAGGGAAAACTAAGGGAAAGTAAAAATACTCCTGGAGTATTTTTTAAATGAAGAATGAAAAAGAGTCATCTGAAGTTCAACTTGGAAGCGAAATGTATATTCTTACAAATTGTCCTTATTGAAAAAAAGATGATAATGAGAAAAGAATGATTAGCCCCTTAGGATGGTCAGATTAGGGCATACAGGAAAACCTTGGTTTGCAAGCATCATAAGTTTGTGAAACATGCCTGTGACCCAAAGCACTTGTATATCAAAGCCAATTTCAAGAACCATTGGCTCAGGGCATGTGGGTGTCTCAGTCGGTTGAGTGTCGACTTCAGCTCCGGTCATGATCTCACAGTTCGTGAGTTTGAGCCCCGCATCAGGCTTTGTGCTGAGAGCTCAGGGCCTAGAGCCTACTTGGGATTCTGTATCTCTGTCTCTCTCTGCCCCTCCCCTACTCATGCTCTGTCTCCCTCTGAAAAACAAAAACAAAAAACAAAACCCATTGGCTCAGTTGTGAAAATATGACCTTCAACATCACATGTTATTCGTATGGTGAGACATTGCTCGTTTATCAAGTGAAAATTTATTAGAAATGTTTGCTCGTCTTGCAGAACACTCACAGAACAAGTTACTCACAACCCAAGCTTTTACTGTACTTGAGAAATAATAACATGAAGGCTACTTTCTCATTTTTACCCTGAAATTGGTGATTTTTTTCAATCAGAGGGAGTTTCTCCACTTCTAAAGTGGTCCTTCTTTTCATAGACTAGGTTGGGGAGATTTTCAGAAAGAAGCTTTCATTTTCAAAAATTTTTGGAGATTCTAAATGCCCTTTTCCTTTTCTTCTGCAGGAAATTGCAGTGAATGTCTCAATTCAAAACCATGAAAGAAGAATGGGCTTCCTGAGTACAGAGCTATCTGCTAATGTGAATAAGAAAAGTGGGATAGGGACATCAATGATAAAAATCAAACCCTTCCTTTTTGGGCTCTCATGTTTTGGGTAGTCACTTCCTGCCTCTAACTTCATTCTCTTTGCTTCTGTGTAACTGCAGAAATGTTTCCTAGAATTGGTCGTTCACACTTAGAGATCACTGCACTGACAACTTAGAGATTTTTTTTCACCTTTTTGTGTGTGGCTGACAGACTCTTAAGTGACATTTACAATTCAGGCAATCCTTTGTGTTTCTGACCTGCCACTTTCTTGTGGAATGGACTAGCAGCTTGGGGAATCTCACTCTGAACAAGGCTACTTGAGCTCAGAGGGAACACTGTGTTCCCTAATGAGATGTAGGAATAAAGAATTAGCTCAGAATGTGCAAGGGAACTTCTCAGACCTTCTCCTCTTATAAAATTCAGAACTGTTTTCATAGTCATCCAGTTTCTGAAAACCCACGGTGAATTTGACACGAGGTGTCTGGACATAATCCAATAATTGTGGGTAGTTGTGTGAAGGGGTTACACACACAGGGAAAGGGGGAGACCCTCCCACTGCTGTAGGGTTGCTTTCATCCATGGTATCTGTTTTATAAACTCAGACAGGACTTGATGGGTTTCTTTCTTATTAATGAGTCCCCCTTAAGTTACTCACTTAAGCAGTTCTATTATGTTTTGGTCTGAAATGATCAAATTCACTCTTATATAAATTAAGTAAAAGGTTGTTACAAGTTATCTTATGGTCTATTTCAGGGGGAAATCACCCCTTAAAGGAATGGCAGACTTCTTTCATGTGGACTAGAAAGCATGCACTACCCAGCAGATGAAATATGGAAAGAACAAAAGTTTGGCTGTCGACATGAGATCTACTATTTTGACTTCCATCAAAAGAATATGAGCCCAAGTAAACACACAGCACAAGAGCACACGCTCTCAGGTTCAAAGTCAGAATGCCATTAACAGCCAAATAAACCTGGGGGGAAAATCTGATTTTTTTTTCTCCTTCCTGACTCTATCCAAAGATAATCAAGTGGCTCCTTGGTTCAAGATACCAATTTTGGTAAATACAAAAATGTAGTATGCTTCTATTTCATTTTTGTGCTTTTTTTTTTTTTTCTGTCGTATTGAGAGTTTCTGTGATATGGTGCACTTCAAATTGCTTCTGTCAATTCCAGTTTGCCTCCTTCAAGCTAAGCAGAGGCTGGGGGAAAGCAGTGCAATTTAAATAATAGAGTTATTTAAAGTGAAAGATAGCAAGGCTATCTTATTCTTGCTCACCAGTATAAATTGTTTCTGGTCTGAACTGGCTTTATGATTGATGGTTCCTAATTTCTGGATGGATTTTACTCTGTGAATCAGAGGATTTCCTGTAATAAGGTAGAAATGGTTTCATTCAGGACCATATTGTGGTCCAGATATTCTTTTGAAAAAGATTGCCAATCTACATAGGCAGTTTTGTCAGAAAGAAAGAGTCCTTCAAATGGACCACTAGATGGAGGTGCTGCACCATCAGTGCTGAATGCCGTCCGTCCTCTGCATTTCAGGGCTGCGTTAGTGGAAAAAACTGATCACTGATGTCTGTGCCCAGGAGCAATGTTGGCCCAAGCAAAGGTGGTCTTTATATGTAATATATCTGGTCACTGGATATTCTGTTAAGCTTTTGTTGAGGCAGTGATTTGTTGACTCAACAAGCTATCGTTTGTCTAAAGGTCATGATTTTTTTTTTAATTGGAAAGGACAAATTTTAAGAGCAAAATTCAAAATTTGTCAAGATCATACATAAAATTTTCTTTACATTAATTTATGCTTTCCATTGGATAATTAAAATTTCCCAGAGACTGAGGACTTCAATAGCTGAATGGAAACGTAAAGAACTGCTGGCCAGGGTAGCATCAGGGGGCAGGAGCTCTGCCCTGCATCCTGAATAAGGAGCTGGAAGGTTGCTGGGCCTTTTCTCAGCTGCGTTGTGAGCGATTTTGACTGGAAGCTGCTAAGGTCCCTTCTAATTCTAACAGTCTACAGTTGTCTGATTTTAAACAGTTACCAAGTACAGAAGCCCCTGAAAGCCATTTAGTTTTTTTCAAATTTACTCTGAAGTCATACGGTTGTTTATAGTGTGGTATATATGTGAACAATACTCTTGTTCAATGTCAGAAGTGATGTTCATTCCTGGAATTCCAAGGTATGGAATGAAACTTTGGAGTTTCAGTTAAAGAGATAATGAAACTGTTTATCATAATATCATCTTAGGCTTTATTTTGCTGTAAATGTTTTAGAAACCATGGGCCATCTTTTTGTTACATTTAAAATCATGTTAGAAAGTCAGACAGAGGAAGACAAATACTGTACATACATTCTCACTTATGTGTGGAATCTAAAAACATTAAACTAAAAGAAATAGAGTAGAATGGTGGTTGCCAGGGTTGGGGGATGGAGAAAATGGGGAGATGGTCAAAGGGTTCAAACTTCCCTTATGAGATGACTAAGTTCTGGAGATCTAATGTACAGCAGGCTGACTATAATTTAAAATATTGTATTATACACTGAAAAGTTGTTAACAGAGTAGATCTTAAAAGTTGTCACCACACACACACACACATACACACACACACACACACACACACACACATACTCACAGGTAATTATGTGAGGGGATGGAGGCGTTAACTAACCTCATTGTGGTAATTGTTTTGCAATGTATACATGTCTCAAATCATCATGTTGTTCACCTTAAACTTACATGTATTATACATCAATAAAATCTCAATAAAGCTGAAAGAATTAAATTCACATAGGAATTTTTGGATCATAAGTCTGACAATAAAGAATTATAAATCATCTTGTAAGAACATGATATATTTTACACAGTTCTGTATATATTCCCTTTGAATTAACTTATTCATTAGTTTTCTGTTAAGTGATGTATTCATATATTGAGGGAACAGGTAATGTGCTCTGCTTTCAAAGAGATTACATTTTTCTAGTGAGACAATTAATTGGACAATCAATTACAAGAATGTGTAGGTATGTTATTTAAGTGGAGAAATACAAGATTTTCTGAGAGAACATAGTAATAGAGATGAAAATTACTATCTGTAGTAATTTCGTATGGAAAAATTACAAGTTAGATTTGATTTTACAGGGATATTTACAGAAAAAAACAATCCTTTAACAGAGGAAACAAAAGAACATTGTGTGTCTGTGTTAAATGCCTCTTCTTTATGAAACCTGGAAACATGCAAAATTCTATCAACCTTTTGATCACAGGGGCTATAGAAAAGCTACAGAAATACATTCTAAGGGAATATTTTCTTTTAGTTTTCAAGTCACATCAAAAGTTTTATCTGGACAAACTCTTGAAAAAATTTTTAATTTATTTTTAATGTTTTTATTTTTGAGAGAGAGACAGAGTGTAAGCAGAGGAGGGGCAGAGAGAGAAGGGAACCACAGAATCCAAAGCAGACTCCAGGCTGTGAGCTGTCAGCATTGCTCCAACCTACGAACCATGAGATTATGATCTGAGCTGAAGTCGGTTGCTTAACCACTGAGCCACCCAGGTGCCCCATGGACAAAAAGTTTAAATATCAGTAGGGTTTCACTGTGAAACTTTCTGCAACCCCCACCCACCCCTGCCATTACTCATATCCTTCCTTTAGGAAAATTATGAATGAATTAGGACTTCATAGTTACCCCAAATTTGAAAATAAGAAGCAACAGTTTGTGTTTGCAATAGAGACCATTTCAGGTTAGTGGCAACTTTTGCTTGTATGCAGAAACAAATACATCTTTCATTCATACTATGAACAAAACAAGGGAGAAAATATTCATGAAATCAGTGATTCATAGTTATTTTTGTTGGGGTGAAAAACCATCTCTTGAGAAGTACAGTGGTTCGATGAACAAATGTCACAATGCATGGGATGACACAAGACATACTCGTAGCTGAATGGAAGAGGAAAGAGAGTTTTTTTACAAGGCCAGTTTTGATGCAATTGAAATATTACATTTAAAAAACCCTACTCATTGATGATGAGTAATCTGATTTTGATGATGGTCCTTTGTTTGAGATACATATATTCTGACAACTAACTCCCCTTTCCACCTCCAAATAGAATGTTTGAAGCTTTCTATTATCTTTTATTAATGTTTTCTGTATTATTTCCATACTTTGGGCTTCTTCTAAGTGCCACATCCAATTTTAGCAACCAGAGTGTATTGTGAGCCCATCTCCCAGAGACAGTGTGTATATTGCATCAGAGAGTGTTAGGGGTGGACATGGCTTTAAAGATCACCTAATCCCTTATTTTATAAATGGAAGATTCAGTCTTGAGAAGTGGGTCACATATCTGATAAGTCATGGAGCTCCAAATAAAACTCAGAGAAGAAGCGAAAGTATGAGAGAATTTGTTTTTGTGAAGAATGTACTGGGATAGCCATGGAACACACCTTTAATTTTAGTCCCCAGGTAATCCTTTGTCATGGGCATATCTCTATTTTTAGATGATGAGATTAAGGCTAGAGAGGTAAAGAAAAGCAGTCTAGATCTGAGTTTGCTGGCTTTTCACTCTCTGGCTTATACCTGTTTAGAGGCCATTTGTGTCACGCACTGGGCTAGGGATATGGAGGTGTGCAAACATACATGGATTCCAGGCTTAGCTTGTTGACAGTGTAGCTGCAGGGACAGATATCATTTAAATAATCAATTACCCATGAAGGCTCTAAAGGACAGGACAAGACTTTTCCTCCATATTGTGATACAAGCGCAGAGCAGAGCCATTTCCCGTGAATGAGGTCCTGGCAGTAGTTTGTCTAACCAAGTGCCAACCTCTTAGAGAGCCAGTTTGGAGAAGAAGCTGGATCAGTTGGTAAGATGACAAGACACGGCCAAGGTGCCACCCTTTGACTAACTTCTCTGGGGCCTCATGGTCTGGCTTTCACATGGCTTCCTCTAGTGATTTTTCTCTCATATTTTTAATGATAGCCGTGTCCATTTTTTTCTCAGTTGTAAAAAAATTTGCTTTGTGAAGTTGTGCTCGAAAGGTACAGCTTGCATTGCTTTCTCTCAACCATACTTTTTGAATCTTGGTAAAACTCGATGGAAATTGACTGACATTGGTGGTGACTTTTCCTTACTATGAATTGTAGTCTTAAAGAAGTAAGTCGCTTGCCTATTTATTAGTGAGTATCCATCCATCCATCCATCCATCCATCCATCCATTTCTCTTAGTGGTTTTTTTCTTGTTTCTGACACAGAATTCTAAGGAAGGTTTTGTGAGTGGTTATGATGACTTTGTAAAATTTTGTTTGCTTATAAGACAGAAACCAAAGGGAAATAGGAAAATGAAATGATTTAACAAAATGGAACCTTAAATGAATGTTGTCTTTTTGATATCCACTATTGTCATTATAAAGTTTATATAATACACCTTTGTTTTGATCTTTGCAGATATATTTTCTTGCAAATATGCGCATACATATATCTGCTCATGTTTATGAAAATGAGATCATATTCTGTAAACATTTTTATGTCCATTTTTGCTCCTAGCAATATATAACCAATGAATAAAGTTCACTTGATAAAGCTCTTCATAATAGCACAGTATCCCATTGTTAGAACGTACCATAATTTACTATTTAATTCAATTAATCTCCTTTTGTTGGGTATACTTTAGAATCTCTCCATTCTTAGAAACTTTAATGCAACGAACATTCTTGCAGTTTACATTGTGCACTTGATCATTAATTTCCTTACAATAGATTTCTAGAAGTGGAACTGCTCTATGAAAGGCTTTTTTTTTTTTTTATGTTTTATTTATTTCTAGGAGAGAGAGAGAGAGACAGCGTGAGCAGGGGAGGGTCAGAGAGAAAGGGAGTCACAGACTGAAACAGGCTCCAGGCTCTGAGCTGGCAGTCAGCACAGAGCCCGACACGGGGCTCGAACCCATGAACCGCGAGATCATGACCCAAGCGAAAGTCGGACGCTTAACCGACTAAGCCACCCAGGCGCCCCAAAAAGGCTTTAGATATAGTTGGCCAAACAGTTCTTTTCCAAAAGTTGAATCAATTTATCCTCCCATCAGTAGAGCATGAGGGTATCTGTCTCTCCACTGATTTTCTGTCATAAGTCACTAAGCAATGCCAGTAAACATGTTTTACTATTGAAAACTTTTCCATTATTGTCTAGATGCTTTTCTTGTTTTGTCAATAGCCTGTCTATATACTTTGGCCAATATTCTACTGAAGTGTCTGTCTTATATTTTTGTAAAGTCTCTTTGCATAAAAAGGACATTTTCCCAGTTTATAATTTACATTTTGGCAATGATAATGATGTCTTTTGAGTTATAAAATTATAACACTTTGGTATAATCAACTTTATTTACTTCTTCCTTTGTGGTTGCTGTTATAGTAAGAAAGAAATCTTAATACTCCAAATTCATATAATTATTCCACATTTTTGTTCTAATGTTTTATTTTAAAAGATTTATATCTGCCTGGAAACTATTTTGGAATATGGTGTGTATTAGAAATAGAATCTTTGTTCCAAAGTAATTCAAATAAATACTTAGATATGTTTCTAGTCATTGGTCATTGGTCATTGATCTGTCTGCAGGGGAAGGCACCGATATAACATTGTTTAGATTAATATTTTTTTGCTGTTTTTTAATTGTTATGTTATAGAAAATGTATATAACATAAAATTTATTATTTTAACCATTTTAAATGTACAATTACGTGGTGTCAGCTACATTACCAATGTTGTACAACTATATCCATTTCCACAACTTCTCTACCATCTCAATTAGAAGGTCTATACTCATTAAACGATAACACCTTGTTCCCCTCCCTCTAGCCCCTGGTAACCTCTATTTTACTTTCTTTTTTTTTTCTTTTCTTTTTTTTTAATGTTTTATTTATTTCTGAGAGAGAGAACTTGAGCAGCAGAGGGTCAGAGAGAGAGGGAGACACAGAATCTGAAACAGGCTCCAGGCTCTGAGCTGTTAGCACAGAGCCCGACGTGGAGCTCGAACCCACAAACGCGAGATCATGGCTTGAGCCGAAGCCGGACACTTCACCGACTGAGCCACCCAGGTGCCCCTATTCTACTTTCTGTCTCTGTGAATTTGTCTATTCTAGGTACCTAAAATAGGTGGAATCATACAATGTTTTTCCTTCTGTGTCTGACTTATTTCACTTAGCAGAATGTTTTCAAGGTTCATTTACATGTAGCATGTATCAGAAGTTCATTCCTGGGGCACCCGGGTGGATCAGTCGATTGAATGTCCAATTTGGGCTCAGGTCATGATC